GAGCCCGAGCGGCGCGGGTCAGGTGAGGGGGGGCGGGGCTTCAACGCTGGTCCCGCCCCCAAGCTCAGAGACCACGCCCCCTCCCCTTTAACCCGCCCCCTCCCCCCCAATTTTTTTCCCATTTTTGCCCCCCCAGGACCCCCGGCCGCCCCTCCCCCCCCCGCCCCCCGGGCCCCCGCCCCCCCCCGGGGCCCCCTCCCCCCCCCGGGCCCCCTCCCCCACCCTCGGGGGTCCCCCCGGCCCCGCCCCTGCCGGGCGTGGGGGGAGGGGCGGGCCCGGAGGGGGGGGGAGGGCCCGGGGGGGGCCCCGGGGGGGTCTCGGGGTTCGCGGCCGCCATCGCGGGGGCCAAGCTCAGGAAGGTGCCCAAGGTGAGTCATTACCTCATTAATTATTAATTATTAATTTATTAATTTATTAATTTACTATTAAATTTAATTATTTAAAATGTTTATTGAATAATAATTTTTAATAATAAATGAATTTAAATTATTTAACTTGCCTAATAAGGAGCGTCGTGGTGGGGAGGGGTCCCTCGAGGTGAGAGTGTGTGTGTGTGGGGGAATAATTAATTAAATAATCAATTCATTAATTTAATTAACTGGTTGAAGAAACATTTGCTATTCATATTTTTAAATGAAATCGTTTAAATTAATTAAATTATTAAATAAAAACTGGGGGTGGGTCCGTCAATGTAAGTGTGTGTGGGGGAAATGAATTAAATTATTGATGAAATTAATTGGTTAAAGAAACATATATTAAATCATAGATTTTTAAAAAATGAAATGAAATTAATTAAATACATTAAATGAACAGCATGGGGGGCGTCCCTCAAGGTGAGTGTGGAGGGGAGTAATTAACTAATTAATTAATTAATAATGTGGGGTTGGAATTAATTGGGGAGGTCCCTGAAGGTGAGCGTGGGAGGGGGAATTAATTAATTAACAGGGTGGGGGGGTAATAATTAATTAAGAGGGCGGGGGGTTGATGAATGAGGGTAATTAATTATTAATTAAGTAATTAAGAGGGTGGGGGGTTAATGAATGGGGGATTAATTAATTCATTAATTAACAGCGTGGGGGGCATTAATGGGGGGGAGGGCGGTCCCTCAAGGTGAGTGTGGGGCGGGGTAATTAATGAATGAAATAATTAATTAACTGCAGGTGATGGGGAATGAATGGAAGGGGGTCCCTCAAAGTGAGTGGGGGGAGTAATTAACTAATTAATTAATCAACCCCCCCCCCCTTTCCCCCCCTCCAGGACGAGCCCCCCAGCGGGGGCGTGGCCGGGGCTGGGGGCGGGGCCGCCCCCTCGGCCCCTCCCCCAAAATCGGGGGCGGGGCTGATGGAGGAGATGAGCGCCATGCTGGCCCGCAGGTGAGGGGGGGTCCCCCAAAATGCCCCAAAAATCCCCAAATCCCCAAAAAGCCCCAAAAATCCCCCCAAATCCCCACTCTGACCTCTCCCCTCCCTCCCCTTTAGGAGAAAAGCCGCGGAACCGCCCAGAAGGGACGATGACGTCACCTCCGTCAGTACCATCCTCCCCACCCCGTTCCTAATTTGGGGAGGGGTCTCTGCCCCTCCCCCACCCCCAATTTTGGATCTCCCCCCCCCGCAGGAGGAGGCGGAGCCCGGCGAGAGGAGGGCGGGGCCGGCGCCGGGTGAGCGCGCGGACTCCATCCCCCAGCATGCACCGCGGCGGGGGCGCGCGGCGGGGCACGGTGCGCGCGCGCGGGGCACCATGGAGTTGTAGTTCTTAAAGGGACCGCGGCGGATTTGTAATTGTTTTTGGGGAGGGGGTCGGGATTTTTGTTGGGGGGTGGGGGGGTTTTAAGGGTCCAGCCCCTCCCCCTCACCCCCTTTTTTTAACCCCTCAGAGCCCGTCCCGAGGCCGTGGCACAAATCCAGCTCCACCGTGCCCAGGTAAAGTTTGGGGGTTTTTTGGGGTTTGGGTTTTTTTTTGTGAGGGGTCCTCAAATTAATTAATTATTTTAATTATTTTCCACCCCCCCCCCCCCTCCCCCCAAAGGATGAAATCGGCCACTCCAGCCACCCCCGAGCCCCACAATGAGTTGGACCTGGAGCGCTTCAAACTGGTACCGGTTTGGGGGGATGGGGGCCAGGAATTTAGGGAGGGGTCTGGGGGGGGTTTCGGGTGCCCCAAATTTGGGGACGGGTCTGGGGGGGGTTTTGGAGTGCCCCAAATCTGGGGAGGGGTCCGGAATTTGGGGAGGGGTTTGGGGAGGATTTGGGGGTGCCCCAAATTTGGGGAGGGGTCTCTGACGCCCCCTCCCCACCCCCCCAGGAGCTGCTGGAGGAGTTCCGGAAGGAGCTGCACAAAATGAAGGAGGAGCTCATCCAAGGTGGGGGAGGGGACTTTTGGGGAGGGGTCTCTCGGTGGGGGGAGGGGTCACAACGATCCCTCCCCCACCCCCCCTCCCCTAATATTTATAATTTTTTTTTTTAAATTTTTTTTTGCCCCTCCCCCAGCGCTGCTGACGGAGCTGAGGAAGCCGAACCGGCCCTGACCCCGCCCCCCCACCAGGCCACGCCCACAATTGTGGGGAGGGTGGGGGAGGGGTCGGAACCCCCCCTCAGCCCCTCCCCCACCCCCTCCCCCCACCCCCAGGCCGTGCCTTACCCTCACTAATTAATTATTAATTGTTAATAATTAATTAATTAGTGCCACACTGTGCCCCACCCCCCCGTGCACATCACCGTGTGGGGAGGGGGGAAAGGGGAGCCCCTCCCCCCGCTCCTCCCCCCTCCCCCACCCCTGTTTTTGGGGTGTTTTTTTAAGTCACTTTTGGGTTTTTTCACTTTATTTGCACCAATAAACGGTTTTTTTACGGGGAAAATTTAAATTAAATGTAAATAGTTTTGCTTGGGGGCGGGGCTTGGATGGCCATGCCCCTCAGAGGAAACCACGCCCACTCCACAGAGCCATCAGCGCCCGCCCACCAATCACAGCGCTCCTCCTCAGCCGGCCCCGCCCCATCGCGTTGGCCACGCCCAAACTGGCCACGCCCATCCTCCGCATTAGCCCCGCCCCTTAAAGGCACCGAACAGAACACACAGAGCGGGTTTAATGCGGAGGGGTGTGGCCTGATCCAGCGGGGGCGTGGCCTCTCACAGCAGGGGCGTGGCCTGACCCGGCAGCGCCATTCACAGCTTTGCTGGGGGCGTGGCCTGAGCTTCCATGGGCGTGGCCTGAGCGTTCATGGGTGTGTCCAGCTCCACCCTGGGCGTGTCCAGCTTCACACTGGGCGTGGCCTGAGCCCCCATGGGCGTGGCTTGAGGTTCCCTGGGCATGTCCCTGGTTATGTCCCACCCCTTCCTGGGCGTGTCCCTGGGTGTGTCCAACCCCTCCCTGGTTATGCCCCACCCCTCCCTGGGCGTGTCCCTGGTTATGCCCCGCCCCTCCGTGGTGAAGCCCCGCCCCTCCCAGGCCATGCTCCGCCCCTCCCTGGGCGTGTCCCACCCCTCCCTGGGCACTTCCAGCTCCACCCAGGGCGTGTCCAGCCCCACCCAACTCAAGCCCCGCCCCTGCCCCGTCAAGCCCCGCCCCTCCCCGCCCCCTGATGGCCTCCAGGTCCCTGCGGAGCTCGTCCAGGTGCTCGCGGAGCTCGGCCAGGGCGCGGTCCAGGTGCTCCTCGCGCCGCCGGCCCTGCCCCGCCTGCCGCAGGTACTCGAGGTAGAGGCAGAGCCCGCCCACGCCGAACACGAGCGCCTCGCCCAGCAGCTCCGCCCCCAGCTCGGCCGCCGCCTCCTCGTTGAGCGGCTTCACCGCGGCGCCGCGGAACCCCAGCAGCCGCATCTTGGTGCGCATCTCCACCCAGTGGTAAACTGAGAGAGAAACGGGGAAACTGAGGCACGGGGAATGGGGAGGGAAACTGAGGCACAGCAGAGGGGGAGTGCTGGTAAATCCCCCCCAAATCAACCCCAGATCCCTCCAAAATCCAGCCCCAAATCCCCCCAAATCCAGCCCCAAATCCCCCCCAAACCAACCCCAGATCCCCCCCCCAAAATTAATCCCCAGATCGCCCCAAACTCAGCCATAAACCCCCCCCCCAAATCCAGCCTCAAATCCCCCCAAATTCACCCATAAATTTCCCCCAGATCGCCCCAAAATCCACCCCCAGCCCCCCCCCCCGGTGTCCCCAATGTCCCCTCAATGTCCCCCAGTGTCCCCAGGTGTCCCCAGACCCCCATGACCCCTCCAAGGAGGGGTCCCACCCCTCAAACCCGAACCATGGCGGGTCCCCCCATGTCTCCAAGTGTCCCCTCAGTGTCCCCAAGTGTCCCCCAGCCCCCAAAACCGAACCAGGGCAGGGTCCCCCCGTGTGCCTCGATGTCCCCAAATGTCCCAAAGTGTCCCAAACCCCCCGGGGGCATCCCAGGCCAAGCCCAGCCCCCAAAGCCGAACCAGGACAGGGCCCCCCCCCTGTCCCCAGGTGTGTCCCCCCCCGTGTCCCCAGGTGTCCCCAGGTGTGTCCCCCCCCAGCCCAGGTGTGTCCCCCTCGTGTCCCCAGGGGTGTCCCCCCCCGTGTCCCCAGGTGTGTCCCCCCCGTGTCCCCAGGTGTGTCCCCCCCCAGCCCAGGTGTCCCCAGGTGTGTCCCCCCCCCAGCCCAGGTGTCCCCAGGGGTGTCCCCCCCCGTGTCCCCAGGTGTGTCCCCCCCAGCCCAGGTGTCCCCAGGTGTGTCCCGCACTCACGCTGCGCGGGGGGCAGGCAGATGTAGGTGCGGAAGAAGGGCGACGCGCGCGCCCCCGCCTTGATGCGCGCGGCCAGGGGGCGGCTGAGCTGGCGCGCGCCCAGCGTCAGCAGCTTGGCCAGCGGGAACGCGCCCGCCACCATCGTGCCCCGGCCGGCCCGCGGGGGCGCGCACGGATGACGTCACGGAGAGCGGGGAGAGCCAGGACACGCCCACCCGCGTTACTTCCGTCCCTCCGTCCTTCCGTCCTTCCGTCCTTCCGTCCTCTTTGCCCTGGTTGGCGCCCCCTGGCGGACGGGCGGACCCCGCTCCAATGAGGACACGCCCCCTCTGTATTATGGGCACGCCCCCTCCTGTTGGGATACGCCCCCTTGTGTTTGGGGACACACCCCTTTAGTTTAGGGCCACGCCCCTTTGTTTTGGGACACGCCCCCCTTGTTTTGGGGGTGCTGGGGGACACTGGGGGACACTGGGACAGGTGTGGGGGACACTGGTGACACACCTGGGGGACACTGGGGGACACCTGGGGGACACTGGGGGACCCGTGGTGACACTGAGACCCCCCTGGGTGACACTGGGGGACACCTGGGACCCCCCTGGTGACACCAAGACCCCTCTGGTGACACTGGGTGACACCTGGGTGACGCTGAGATGCCCCCCGGTGACATTGAGACCCCCCTGGTGACACCGGGTGACATCGGGTCCCCCTTGGTGACACCGAGGCCCCTCCCAGGGGCGGTGCCCGCCCCCGCCGGTGCCACCCGGGGGTGACAGAGCCGCGCGCGGAGCCACCGCCGGTGACACGGGGACATCGAGGGGACACCGAGGGGACACCGGCCACACTCCGCGGCCGCCAGGTGCCACCAGAGGCCACTCAGGGCCACCATGGGCCAGCAGGTGGCGACCCCCGGCCCGCCGGGAGCAGAGGTGAGACCCCCGCGCTGTCCCCCGGTGTCCCCTGATGTCCCCTCATTGTCCCCTCCATGTCCCCTCATTGTCCCCTCCTGATGTCCCTCGGTGTCCCCTCATTGTCCCCACTATCCCCCACTGTCCCCCCCACTGTCCCTCGATGTCCCTGCGTTGTCCCCCCCCCGTCCCTCGATGTCCTTCATTGTCCCCATGATGTCCCCTCTGCTGTCCCCTCTGCTGTCCCCTCTGTCCCCATTGTCCCCTCTGTGTCCCCTCTGCTGTCCCCCGTAATGTCCCCCCTCTGTCCCCTCCGGTGTCCCCAGGAGCGCTCCGCCCCTGCTCATTGCTGTCCCCATTGCTGTCCCCACTGATGTCCCCATCTGTCCCCCCTGTCCCCATTGATGTCCCCTCTGCTGTCCCCCCTGTCCCCATTGATGTCCCCATTGATATCCCCCCTGCTGATTGCTGTCCCCATGTCCCCATTGATGTCCCCATTGTCCCCTCTGCTGTCGCCTCTGCTGTCCCCCATTGTCCCCTCACTGTCCCCCGTGTCCCCAGGAGCGCTCTGCCCCAGTGATTGCTGTCCCCCTGTCCCCATTGCTGTTCCCCCCATTGTCCCCCATTGTCCCCTCCGGTGTCCCCAGGAGCGCTCGGCCCAGGCCACCGTTGTCGCGTGGCGCCAGTACCGCCAGGCGTGCGAGCTGCACCTGCGCCTGGCCCCGCCCCCGGCAGGTGAGACCCCGCCCACACCCGCGCCACGCCCCGCCCACACCTTGGGACACTTTGGTGACACCTTGGGGACACCTTGGGGACACCTTGGTGACACCTTGGTGACACCTTGGTGACACTTTGGTGGCATTTTGGTGGCATCTGTGTCCCCTCAGGGCCCGTGTGCAACCGCAGCTTCGACCTGTACGCGTGCTGGGGCGACGCTGTCCCCAACAGCACGGCCACTGTCCCCTGCCCCTGGTACCTGCCCTGGTACCACCGAGGTACCCGGGAGGGGACAGCCAGGGGACACTGGGGTGGCACTGCGGTGACACTGCGGTGACAGCCGTGTGGCAGTGCAGGGCGGGCTGGTGGCACTGGGTGGCACTGGGTGGCACTGGGTGACACAGAGGTGGCACAGAGGTGACACAGAGGTGACAGCCGTGTCGCAGTGCAGGGCGGGCTGGTGGCACACAGGTGGCACAGAGGTGACAGTGACAGCGGTGTCGCAGTGCAGGGCGGGCTGGTGACACAGAGGTGGCACAGAGGTGACAGTGACAGCGGTGTCGCAGTGCAGGGCGGGCTGGTGGCACTGGGTGGCACTGGGTGACACAGAGGTGGCACAGAGGTGACAGTGACAGCGGTGTCGCAGTGCAGGGCGGGCTGGTGGCACTGGGTGGCACTGGGTGACACAGAGGTGGCACAGAGGTGACAGTGACAGCGGTGTCGCAGTGCAGGGCGGGCTGGTGGCACACAGGTGGCACAGAGGTGACAGTGACAGCGGTGTCGCAGTGCAGGGCGGGCTGGTCTCGCGGCGCTGCGGCCCCGACGGGCAGTGGGTGACCGATGGCAGCGGCCGCACCTGGCAGGACAACTCGCAGTGCGAGGACCTGGAGCAGGGGACACCGCTGGAGGTGGGGACAGCGAGGGGACAATGAGGGGGGACAGGAAGGGGACAGAGAGGGGACATTGGGGGGGACAGAGAGGGGACAGCGAGGGGACAGCGAGGGGACAATGAGGGGGGACAGGATGGTGATGTGGTGGGGATCGAGAGGGGACAGGGAGGGGACAATGAGGGGGGACAATGAGGGGACAATGAGGGGACAGCGAGGGGACATTGGGAGGGACAGGAAGGGGACAGAGAGGGGACATTGGGGGGACAGAGAGGGGACAGGGAGGGGACAATGAGGGGACAATGGGGGACAGGGTGGGGACAGTGAGGGGACAGGGTGGTGACAGAATGGGGATGTGGCGGGGACAAAGGGGGGACAGCGAGGGGACAATGAGGGACAATGAGGGGGGACAGGATGGTGATGTGGTGGGGATCGAGAGGGGACAGGGAGGGGACAATGAGGGGGGACAATGAGGGGACAGAGAGGGGACATTGGGAGGGACAGGAAGGGGACAGAGAGGGGACAGGGAGGGGACAGAGAGGGGACAGAGAGGGGACAGGGAGGGGATGTGGCGGGGATAAAGGGGGGACAGGGAGGGGACAGCGAGGGGACATCGAGGGGACAATGAGGGGACAGAGAGGGGACAGGGAGGGGACAGCGAGGGGATAATGGGGGGACAATGGGGGGGGACAGGGTGGGGATGTGGCGGGGATAAAGGGGGGACAGGGAGGGGACAATCAGGGGACAGGGAGGGCACAGCACGGGGGTTGTGGCGCCGCAGGTGGCAGCGGGGTCACAGCGCGGTGACACCGCGGGTGCCACCCCCGCGGGCGGTGCCGCGCGCCCGTGCCCGTGTCGCGCTCCGTGTCACCGGGCGTGTCACACGGCGCGTGTCACACGGAGCGCAGCGTGACACCGGGTGGCGCCGGTGCCACGCTGCGCCGGCACATTGTCACCCCCGTGTCACCCCCGGTGTCACCCCCGGTGCCACGCTGCGCCGGCACATTGTCACCCCCCGTGTCACCGCTGTGCCCCGTGTCCCGTGTCCCCGGTGCCATGCCGTGTCCCCTGCCGTGTCCTGTCTCCCTGTCCCGTGTCCTCTGTGCCACTTCATGTCCCCTGCCGTGTCCCCCTGTCCCCATGTCCCTTGTCCCCTGTCCCTGTGTCCCGTGCTGTTCCCATGCCATCTCCCCCTGTCCCTTTGTCCCCCTGTCCCGTGTCCCCCCACCGTGTCCCCGTGTCCCACGTCCCCTGTGCCATGGCATGTCCCTTGTCCCCGTGTCCTGCGTCCCCCTGTCCCCTGCCATGTCCCATTTCCTTTTGTCCCCTTGTCCCCATGTCCCCTGTCCCCCTGTCCCCCGTCCCCATGTCCTCCTGTCCCCTGCCCCGGTGTCCCCCTGTCCTCGTGTCCCTGTGTCCCCATGTCCTGTACTGTTCCCATGCCATGTCCCCCTGTCTGGTGTCCTGGTGTCCCCCTGTCCCCTGTCTGCTGTCCCCTGTCTCCCACTGTCCCCCATGTCCCCTGTCCCCCACTGTGTCCCCCGTCCCCTGTCCCCTCTCCTATGTCCCCCTGTCCCCTGTCTGGTGTCCCCATGTCCCCTGTCGTGTCCCCTGTGCCATGTTCCATGTCCCATGTCCTTTTGTCCCTGTGTCCCCCTGTCCCCCACCGTGTCCCCTGTCCTCTGTCCGGTGTCCCGGTGTCCCTGTGTCCCGGTGTCCCCTGTCCCCTGTCCGGTGTCCCGGTGTCCCTGTGTCCCGGTGTCCCCTGTCCCCTCTCCGGTGTCCCGGTGTCCCCATGTCCCCTGTCCCCTGCCCGGTGTCCCCATGTCCCCTGTCCGGTGTCCCGGTGTCCCCTGCCCGGTGTCCCCGTGTCCCCGTGTCCCGGTGTCCCGGTGTCCCCTCAGCGCCAGGTGTGGCTGCTGGAGCAGTTCCGCCTCCTCTACACCGTCGGCTACTCGCTGTCGCTGGTGGCGCTGCTGGTGGCGCTGCTGCTGCTGCTGCTGCTCAGGTGGGGACACACCTGGGGACACTGACACACTTGGGGGGTGGCCCCATGTCCCCATGTCACCCGTGGCAGTGTCCCCCTGTCCCCAATGTCCCCATGTCCCCAGAGATGTCCCCAGTGTCCCCAAAGCCCCCAATGTCCCCAATGCCCCCAATGTCCCCAGAGATGTCCCCAATGTCCCCAATGTCCCCAATGCCCTCAGTGTCCCCAATCCCCCCAATGTCCCCAATGCCCCCAATGTCCCCAATGTCCCCAGAGATGTCCCCAACGTCCCCAATGTCCCCAATGTCCCCAATCCCCCCAATGTCCCCAATGCCCCCAATGCCCCCAATGTCCCCAATGTCCCCAATCCCCCCAATGTCCCCAATCCCCCCAATGTCCCCAATGCCCCCAATGCCCCCAATGTCTCCAGTGTCCCCAATGTCCCCAGTGTCCCCAGTGTCCCCTGTGTCCCCAGGCGCCTGCGCTGCACGCGGAACCTGATCCACGCCAACCTCTTTGTGTCCTTCGCTCTCCGCGCCGCCGCCATCCTGACCCGGGACGCGCTGCTGCCACACCCGGGCCACCAGCGGGGACAGCAGCAGGGACAGCACCCGGGCCACCCCCTGCAGCTGCTGGGACAGCAGGTGGG